AATTCGACATCGACACAAGTCCTCACTCTGTCCGGGCCCAAGCTGGAGGTGTGTGGTGGCGATCAGCAGCCCTCACTGCGAGCCTTGGAATTCCTGGCTCAAGTGCTTCCTGTCTCAGCCTGCCGAGCAGCCTGGACTGCAGTGGCACCACACACCTTGCTCTGTTTGTTTGTTTTTTTGGAGACAGAGTCTCGCTCTTTGCCCAAGTCCTGGAAATTCCGATGCATGATCTTCAAGCTCACCTGTAACCCTCCAGCCTCCTGGGTTCCACAGCAATTCCTCCATCTCAAGCTCCCAAGTCATGGACTCACAGGCGCCCACCACCCATGCTGGTCTAATTTGTATTTTTATAGTAGAGACAGGGTTTCACGATGTTGGCCCAGCCTGGTTCTTTGAACTCTGTCCTCAAGTGATTCCGCCCCGCTTTGACCTCCCAAAAGTGTTGGGCATTAAAGCATGAGCCACTGTGCGCCCTGGTCCACCTGCTTTATTTTTTTAAATTTAATTTTGAATATTTTATTTTTTATATTTATTTTTTTTGACCACGGAGTCTCGCATCCTGCTCCCGCAGGCCCTTGAGTGCAGCGGCCAGATCTCAGCTCACTGCAAGCTCCCGCCTCCCGTTTACGCCATTTCTCCTGACTCAGCCTCCACTCAGTAGCCTGGACTACAGCGCCCGCACCACCCGTCGCCGGCTCATTTCTGTGTTTTTTTTTTTTTTTTTTTTTTTTTTTTTTTTTTGAGACGGAGTCCTGGCTCTGGTCGCCAGGCTGGAGTGGGCGGTGGCCGGATCTACAGCCTCAACTGCAAGCGTCCGCGCCTCCCCGGGTTTACGCCATTCTCCTTGCCCTCAAGCCTCCCCGAGTCGCTGAGACTACAGGCCTCCGCCACCCTCCCGCCCGGCTAAGTTTTTTTGTATTTTTTAGTAAGACGGGGTTTCACACGGTTCGCCATGGCATGGTCTCGTTCTCCTGACCTCGTGATCCGCCCGTCCGCCTCCCCAAAAGTGGCTGGGATTCACAGGCTTGAGCCACCGCGCCTGGCTTCTGTGTTTTTTTTCTCAGTAGAGATGGGTTTTCACTGTGTTAGCCAGGATGGTCTCAATCTCCTGACTCAGTGATCGCGCCCGTTCAGCCGTCTCAAAAGTGGCGGATTACAGGCCGAGCCACTGCCTCCCGGCCTTTGCTTATTTTTATTTATTTTTTTTTTTTTTGAAAGATGGAGTACTGGCTCTGTCGCCCAGGCGGATGCAGTGGCCGGATCTCAAGCTCACTGCAAGCTCCCGCCTCCGGTTTACGCCATTCTCCTGCTGCCCTTCAGCCTCAGAGGTCCGACTGGAACTACGGCGCCGCCACACCCCGCCCGGCTAGTTTTTTTTGTATTTTTTAAGTAGAGACGGGGTTTCAGCCCGTGTTTCCCACCAAGGATGATCCGATCTCCTGACCAATCGTGATCCGCCCGTCTCGCGCTCCGCAAAGTGCTGGGATCACAGGCTGAGCCACCGCCAGTCGGCCTATTTTTTAGTAATTTTTTTTGTAGAGATGTGGTCTCACTGTGTTGGCCCAGGCTGGTCTCAACTCTAGGCCTCACAGCCTATCCTCCATCAGCCTCCACCCAAAGGTGAATAGAATTACGGGTGGTTGACCCACCCTGCACCTGGATCATTGTCAAAATAAAAATATTTTTAAGTTAATTTGTATTCCTTTTTGAGACCAGGGTCTTGCCTGGTGTTGCCCAGGCCCTGGAGTGGCAGATGGCAGTGATCTTCAGTCACTGCAACCTCTGCCCTCCTGGGTTCAACGCGATTCCCTGCCTCCAGCTCCTGAGTACTGGATTACAGGCAGCCCCGCCCCAAAGCCCTACTAATTTTTTGTATTTTTGGTAGAGGCGGGCGTTCACCGCATGTTGGCCAGCGCTGGTCTTGACTCGCTGAGCTCAAGTCATTCGGCCCGCTGGAACTCCAAAGTGCCTGGGGCGACAGGCCTGAGCCACCCGTCTGAGCCCCCTCCCGCCCCAGCCGGAAAACATCATGCTGCTGGACAAGAACGTGCCCAACCCACGCATCAAGCTCATCGACTTCGGCATCGCGCACAAGATCGAGGCGGGGAATGAGTTCAAGAACATCTTCGGCACCCCAGAGTTTGTGGGTGAGGCTCTGCCCAGTGGGCATGGGGTGGGTCATGCCCGGCGCCAGCTGCCGCTTCCATAGCCCTGAGGCTGCCCCTCTTGGGCCTGGCATTGCAGGAGGTCAGGGCCTCCGTTTGGTGCAGCCCAGCCGTCCTGCTGTCAGGCCCTGAGGGCCAGCTCTGCCGCATTCATGCCCCAAGGGCTGTGATGTGTTGAGCCTTGACCCCGTGCCTGTGTTGTGAGCCTCTTCCTTGGCCAGTGTGTCCCCAGTGCGTGATCCACATCTCCCTGTTCTGCAGCCCCAGAGATTGTGAACTATGAGCCGCTGGGCCTGGAGGCAGACATGTGGTGAGTGTGCCGCCCCCTCCCCCGGGCCTCCCTGCTGTCCTGGAGCACAGGCCAGCGCTGCAGCTGGGGATGAAGCGGGGCCTTGCTACTGCTCGAGTATGGGGGGACTATCACCCTAGAGCAGGGGCTCTGGACGCCCTGGTCCTAGGAGGGCGGGCGGGGCCCTGCACTGGGAGGGGAGGCGGCCCCACACTGCGCTGACCGCTTCCTCTTGTCTGTCCCCAGGAGCATCGGCGTCATCACCTACATCCTGTGAGTACCTGGCGGGGGCCCCTCAGCTGTGCAGCACAGCTGGCATGGGTCCTGGGCTCCGTGTGTTTCATGCGGATGCCGGGGTTCCCCAGCCTGGCTGTGACCCATCACGGGTGCTCAGGGTATACCGGGTGAACGGATGAGTGATTCTCTGTGGCTGCTGTTCCAGAGGCTTCTGAAGAGTTCTGAAGGCAGGACGCTCACAGAGCACCTGAGCAGGCCACAGGTTCGGGGGTGTGTATGCTCCTGTTCCTGCGGCTGCTAGGGAGCCCAGCCTCCTCAAAGTGCAAGGAAGGGACCTGGCCCCAGGCTGGGTTTTGACTCCTCCCTGGGCCACACATGGGCCTGCCGTTGTTTATTATTTTTATTTGTTGAGACGGGGTCTTAGCTGTTGTCCAGGCTGGAGTGCTGTCTTAGCTCACTGCAGCCTGCACCTCCCAGGCTTAAGCAATCCTCCCACCTCAGCCTCCTGAGTACCTGGGACTACATGTGCACACCACCACGCTCGGCTGTTATTTATTTATTTATTTTAACAGAGTTTCGCTCCTGGTGTACAGGCTAGAGGGCAGTGGTGCGATCTCGGCTGTGGACTGCAACCCCCGCCTCCCGGGTTCAAGTGATTCTCCTGCCTCAGTCTCTCAAGTAGCTGGGATTACAGGCGCCCACCACCACCCCCAGCTAATTTTTGTATTTTTAGTAGAGACAGGGTTTCACCATGTTGGTCAAGGCTGGTTTTGAACTCCTGACCTCAGGTGATCTGCCCGCCTCGGCCTCCCAACGTGCTGGGATCACAGGTGTGAGCCACCGCGCCCGGCTGGCTAATTTTTTTTCTTTTTTCTTTTTTTTTGAGGTGGAGTTTTGCTCTTGTTGCCCAGCATCAGGCTGGGAGGCAGACGCTGTCAGGGCCTCTTGCTGCCGGGCTGTTGACCTTGATCCCTTGGTTAAGGTGTTATCGGCTTGGACTCCCCACTGCAGTTGCCCTCCTCTCCTCGGCGTTCCTGAGGACTGGGGTCTTTCGGGTCCTGCGTCTGCACAGATACTTTGAATCTCCAAAGAGACCCTGCCCGTTCATTGCTGCTGCTGTCAGTGGCGGGGTGTGGGGGTGGATTTTGAATGCCTATTGGGTGGTGGCTGGGATCGTTGCGGGAAGATTCTAGGGGCTCAGAAGTGTGAGTGGCCCAGGCGCCTGCCGTCAGCCTGTCGTCTGTGCTCTGCCTGTTGTGGGCAGGACAGAGTTGGGGGCAGCCGGGGAGGCGGCATGGTCGTGGTGGGAGCCCAGGACCCCACTGAACCCCGTGCCCATCTCGCAGCCTGAGCGGTGCATCCCCGTTCCTGGGCGAGACCAAGCAGGAGACGCTCACCAACATCTCAGCCGTGAACTATGACTTTGACGAGGAGTACTTCAGCAACACCAGTGAGCTGGCCAAGGACTTCATTCGCCGGCTGCTCGTCAAAGATCCCAAGTACGAGGGGCCGGCAGAGGGCACGGGGTGGGACATGGGACACGGGCCCACTCCACCCATGGAGGCTGCAGGGGACTCTCCTCCCAGCACCACCTCCCTGTGGCTGGCGTTCGGACATTGCTTCCCTCTTGGGCTGGAGAGAGGAAACTGATGGGCCAGGTTGGCCATTGCCATGGTTTTTTCTTGAGACGGAGTCTCGCTCTGTCACCCAGGCTGGAGTGCAGTGGTGTGATCTCGGCTCACTGTAGCCTCCGCCTCCCGGGTTCAGGATATTCTCCCATGTCAGCCTCCTGAGTAGCTGGGATTACAGGCGCCCGCCACCACACCTGGCTAATTTTTGTATTTTTAGTAGAGACAGAGCTTCACCGTGTTGCTCAGGCTGGTCTTGAGCTCCTGACCTCCAGTGATTTGCCCGCCTTGGCCTCCCAAAGTGCTGGAATTGCAGGTGTGACACACTGGCTGCTTGCCGTGTTTTTAACAAACTTTTAGTTGCCAGTGTGTAAAATAAGGTTCTATGTAAAATTCCAGGTGACTTGTTTTCCTGTAAACACTTAGAATCCCGGCAGTGCTGAGCCCTCACTCATAGGGCCTTCCCAGGCCTCCCCAGACCTCCCCGGGCCTCCCTGGGTGTGCCCAGACCCCCAGACCTCCCGGGCCTCCCCGGCCACCCAGCCTCTCTCTCGGGCACCTGGGTTTGCTCCTCCAGCCTGAAGTCTCAGCTCTCTCCACCATCCCCCAGGAATCCCCGCGCTGCCTGAAGTCCCCTTGTTCAGCTCCTGTGGTTGGCTGAGCAGAGGCTGGGGGGTGACTTTAGGGCTTTTGGGGGTCCTGGGAGTCAGTCATCCGCGGGAGGACAGGACAGATGGTGCAGGTGTAACTAACCAGGGCAGGGGTCTTCCAGGCGGAGAATGACCATTGCCCAGAGCCTGGAACATTCCTGGATTAAGGTAAGTGGGTAGGGGGGGAGTTCCCTGGGCTTCCCGCCTTGGCCTTCTCACTGGGGTCCGGATGGCCTTCAGCATTTAAGGCTTGTGGATGTGACAAACCCCAGTGGCTGGGAAGGGTCCCCAGAGAAGTGGGCCTGGGTGGTGGGGGTCGGGTCCTGGGCGTGGGACATGTGGCACCCGACAGACCTGGTGGCGTCCTCTGCTGGTGTGTGTCCAGCAGGGCTGAGACTCCCAGGGCTGGGGCCGCAACGTTTTTCTGGAGGGAGCACTTTTGGCTTTGCGTTGGGCCGGGCAGTCTCTGTCATGAGGCGTTGACTCGGCTGCCGGATGAGCCCCTGAACCTCAGTTCACACTGGCAGGCGGGGGCTGGCAGGGCTGGGTGGCGTCGCGGGGACCCCGCTCAGGCCTCCCTCCCTCCTAGGCCATCCGGCGGCGGAACGTGCGTGGCGAGGACAGCGGCCGCAAGCCCGAGCGGCGGCGCCTGAAGACCACGCGTCTGAAGGAGTACACCATCAAGTCGCACTCCAGCATGCCGCCCAACAACAGCTACGCCAACTTCGAGCGCTTCTCCAAGGTGCTGGAGGAGGTGGCGGCGGCCGAGGAGGGCCTGCGCGAGCTGGAGCGCAGCCGGCGGCTCTGCCATGAGGACGTGGAGGCGCTGGCCGCCATCTACGAGGAGAAGGAGGCCTGGTACCGCGAGGAGAGCGACAGCCTGGGCCAGGACCTGCGGCGGCTGCGGCAGGAGCTGCTCAAGACCGAGGCACTCAAGCGGCAGGCGCAGGAGGAGGCCAAGGGCGCGCTGCTGGGGACCAGCGGCCTCAAGCGCCGCTTCAGCCGCCTGGAGAACCGCTACGAGGCGCTGGCCAAGCAGGTGGCCTCCGAGATGCGCTTCGTACAGGACCTGGTGCGCGCCCTGGAGCAGGAGAAGCTGCAGGGCGTGGAGTGCGGGCTGCGCTAGGCGCACTGGGATGGGCCAGGCCCCAGGACAGCTGGAGCTCGGCCTTCGGTGGGGGCGCTTACTTGGACGCTGCTCCTCCTGTCCCGTTCCAGCCCTTGTACACGCCCCCAGGCTGGAGGTGGAGTGGAAAGAGCTGGAGGGCAAGGGTGGGTGTGGGACGGGGCTGCTTCTCTGCACAGCCTCCAAGCCGGCCTTCACCTTCGCTCCTGCATCATCAATGACGCTGGGACCCTCCAGGCAGCGTGGCTTCTGGCGCTGTGAGGGTTGGGACCCAGGATGGGACTGGCTACCGAGGCACAGCGGCCGTCCCAATGCAGCCCTGGCCCAGGCCCAGGCCTGGGGGAGGGTTTGCGGGCAGTTTGGCGGGGTGCTGCCCGCTGCTGCCACTGGCCCAGGAGGAGGTCGTGGGACGGGGAGGGTGGGGTGGACGGCGGACAGGCAGTCCCCACGCTTCTGGGTGGCGCCGGGCTTGGTGGGGTCTTCTACCATGTGCCCTCCTTGCCGAGGCCCGTTCCCTGGATGTGGGGTCCTCTGCTGCGGACTCCTCCGCGAGCCCCGTCGTGGCGCGTGTGCAGAGGCCTAGACAAGAGCGGCCCTCTGCAGCCAAGAGAAATAAAACACCGGCTTCCAGATACGCAGCGTGTTGTGCGCTTCAGACCTTGGCAGGGGATAACCAGCCCTTGGCTTCCGGGGATGTGCCCTCCGAGGCTTTCATGTGTGTCTGTGTTCCCTGCCTGCCGCTGTGCTCCTCGGGAAGAGGGGGACAAAGTTGGGTGGCCTCGCAGACCCTCACGGTGCCCTGGGAGCTGCCACATCTTGGTCTCTGGCGCCCCTGGGTGTTTGGATTGCAATGAGATGGAAGCTCCGGGCCGCCGAGGTGGGTCCCAGTCATTTCTTGTCCTTTTGCGCCTTACTGGATGCTGCTGCGTCCCACGTGGGAGCCCCTGCCCCCGCCTGGAGCCACAGGCGGTGGCCTTGGAGGAGCAGGCTCAGCACAGCCGCTGGGTCTCACTCCCACGTGTTTCAGAGAGGGCCCCACCCTGCTTGCCTTCCTGAGGAGGTTTTGTTTTTGTTTTTGTTTGAGATGGAGTCCCGCCGCCTGTCGCCCGCTGGAGTGCAGTGGGCGATCGCGGCTCACTGTAACCTCCGCCTCCTGGATGCAAGTGGGTCTCCTGCTTCAGCCTCCCAAGTGGCCGGGATTACAGTGCGTACATCACCACACGTGGCTAATTTTTGTCTTTTTTTTTTTTTTTTTTTTTTGAGACGGAGTCTTGCTCTGTAGCCCGGGCTGGGAGTGCAGTGGCCGGATCTCAGCTCACTGCAAGCTCCGCCTCCGGGTTGCCGCCATTCCCTGCCTCAGCCTCCCCAATAGCTGGGACTACAGCACCCGCCACCTCGCCCGGCTGGTTTTTTGTATTTTTAGTAGAGACGAGGTGTTCACCGTGTTAGCCAGGATGGTCTCGATCTCCTGACCTTCGTATCCGCTCGTCTCGGCCTCCCAAAGTGCTGGATTACAGGCTTGAGCCACCGCGCCCGGCCGTCTTTTGTTTTTGTTGAGTTGGAGTTTTGCTCTGTTGCCCAGGCTGGGAGTGCAATGGCACAATCTTAGCTCACTGCAACCTCCACCTCAGCAGGTTCAGGTGGTTCTCCCCCCCCCAGGCCTCTCCAAGCTAGCTGGGATTACAGGCATGCGCCACCACGCTGGGCTAATTTTGTATCTTTAGTAGAGGCAGGGTTTTACCATGTTGGCCAGGCTAGTCACGAACTCCTGACCTCAGGTGATCTGTCCACCTCGGCCTCCCAAAGTGCTGGGATTCCAGGCGTAAGCCACCATGCCCAGCTGTAATTTTTGTATTTTTAATAGAGATGGGGTTTCACCTTGTTGGCCAGGCTGGTCTCGAACTCCTGACCTCGAGTGATCCGCCCTCCTTGGGCTCCCAAAGTGCTGGGATTAGAGGCGTGAGTCACTGCATCTGGCCATTTTTTTTAACTTTATTTTTTTTCATTGAGCTATGATTCACACACCCTAAAATCTTTTTTTTTTAAGTGTACAATTCAGTGGTTTTAGTATATTCACAGAGGCAGGAACATGCACATCCACACAAAAATTGTATGTGAACCCGGCATCGTGGGGCTGCTTGTGGTCCCCAGTACTCAGGAGGCTGAGACAGGAGGATCACTTGAGCTCTGGAGGCGGAGGCTGCAGTGAGCTGTGGTCCCGCCACTGTACTCCAGCCTCGGTGACAGAGCAACACCTTGTCTCATAAAGAAATGCACAGTGCACCAGGCATGGTGGCTCACGCCTGTAACCCCAGCACTTTGGGAGGCCGAGGTGGGCGGATCACGAGGTCAGGAGATGGAGACCATCCTGGCTAACATGGTGAAACCCCGTCTGTGCTAAAAGTAAAAAAACTAGCCAGGCGTGGTGGCGGGCACCTGTAGCCCCAGCTACTCCGGAGGCTGAGGCAGGAGAATGGTGTGAACCCGGGAAGCGGAGCTTGCAGTGAGCAGAGATAGCATCTCTGCACTCCAGCCTGGTGACAGAGCGAGAAGCCGTCTCAAAAAAAAAAAAAAAAACACAGTGTGTCTCCTGGTGCCAGCTCTGAGCATGTTAAGTCAGTGGATCACGTGTGCCTTCCTCTTCCTGCCCATCTCATCCAGCCCCGTAGACAGAAAGGATGCCTTAGAACTCCCAGCGGTCACGTGCCACAGAGCCACTGGGAACTGCAGCCTGGCCACGGAGGAACCTTGTGGGACACAGCCACCAGGTGGCACTGAGGAGGCCGAACGGTCCAGCGCCCCATCCCTGCAACTGGACTCTGCCTGGGTGGTCCGGGGTGATGCTGGGCCGGGCAGTCAAGTGTGGACGGACCAGCTGAGGGATTTAAGTACCCGTGGCTCAGACAGGCATTTGCACACCCATGTTCACAGCAGCACGACTCGACAGCCAAAGGGTGGAGGGAACCCAGGCGCCCATCCACAGATCAGTGGAGAAACGGAGGGTCCCTTCTGTGACGGAACATGACTCAGCCTGAAAAAAGGGAACCCTGACAAGGGCCACAGCATGGATGCACCTTGAGGATGTCACGCTTGCTGGGAAGCCTGGCACAAAAGGACGAACACCGATTCTACTCCTAGGAGGTCCCTAGAGCCGTCAGAGTCACAGAGACAGAAAGGATGGGGGGGTGTCGGGCTGGGGAGGTGGGTGGAGAGTGTTTCAGGGGACAGAGTTTCAGTTTGGGAAGGTGAGAAAGTTCCAGGAATGTGGCCCAACTCAGTGGCTCAGGCCTGTAATCCCAGCACTTTTGGAGACTGAGGCAGGAGGACTGTTGAGTCCAGGAGTTTGAGACAAACCTGGGCAACACAGTGAGACCCCTGCTTCTACGAAAAATGAGAAAATTAGCTTAATGTGGTGGCCCATACCTGTGGTCCCAGCCTCTAGGGAGGCTGAGGGAGGCGGAACGCTTGAGCCCAGGAGGTTCAGGCTGCAGTGAGCCATGGTTTTATATGAAGTCTATGAAGCTTTTAGCACACACACACACACACACAGCTGATTCCCTTGGTCATTTTGAGGGGGTATAATAGACGATACTACAATCTTGGAAGTCCGTAGGTTTAGGAAAAAGCGCACACACCACATGCTATGAAGTAAGCACACAGGCACCGATCACGCGACAATATTATGAAGGTTCACTGGAGGAGCTAGTAGACCATGCCTGGGCGAGACAAAGCAAAGGACCCTGTCTGCAACAAACACACAGCACACACATCACACACACTACACAATTGGCACACACTACACCGACAGCGTCTCACTACATCCGATACACCTCGCCGCCGCCCCACCCCACACACACACACACAGTAGCACTGGAGCTCCAGCCTGGGCAGCAAAGCAAGCCTGTCTCCAAACACACACACACACACAACACACCACAGCCGCACATCCGCCGGCCCGGCGGGCACACACACACACACACACACCGCACCCCACACAAGCCACACACACAACCCAGAGCACGGACTCCAGCTGGGCAGCAAAGCCCAGACTCTGTTCACACACACAACAGCCCACACACACACACACACCACCACCCGCACCCGGGTCGCCAGTGGCTCATGCCTTCAATCCTACGCACTTTGGGACAGGCTGAGGCGCGGCTTTCCCTCCGGCTCCCTCTCAGATGGCCAGAGGGACACGGCCAGAGACGGGCCAGGGCTCAGGGTCACCCGCCTGAGGGGGCTGGGCCAGGGTTGGTCGCATGCTCGTAGCAATGGGAGCCCCAGGCTCCTGGTCTCCTGGTGTGGTTGGTCTGCCCCCCCACCCCAGCGAGCGGTTCACGTCTGCTGGTTTCCGGGGAACAACGGGCTGGGAGTGTGAGTGTTGGGGCCACTGCCTGGCGCTTCCACGGACCTCAGTTTCTCTTGTCTGG